ACCTGGCAGCAGTGGGCTGGAGGGCACATAAGGCCACCCAGAGTTGCTGGCAAAGCTTACTTCATGTGGCTTTGGAAGAATTTTTTAATGCAATGGGAAAATTTAAACTTGTTTTTATGTGTAAAAATCAGCCATAAATTTCCCTATGTACCAAAAAAATCAGGCAAGTGCCCAAAAACCTTTCTGCATAGAATCTCTCTGACCTTTTCAAACAGAAAATCAGTAAGATCTGCCTTGACCCCTCTGCATTTTCTGCTCATCTTGGGCCAGAGTCTCATCCTTTGACTTCTATTATCTCTCCTCTATGGCTATGTCTACACTTCAAGGTTTTTGCGCAAAACTGGCAGAGCGTTCACACCTCAAGCACGTTTTTGCACAAGAAAATTGACAGAACAGAGAGCTTTTGCCAGTACAGTTATTCCTCTCCCCATGATGAATAACTCCTTTTCGCACTACAGCTCTTACGCAAAAAGGCATATATGGACACTCCGGAAGGGTTTTTGCATAAGAAACCCCTATCAGAAAAAGCACAGGTGCTCTGATGGCCATTCTGTGAATGGCCAACAGAGCTTTCTTGTGCAAGTGTGTCCCTGCAGTGTGGATGTTCTCTTGTGCAAAAGCACATCGCTTTTGCAATGCACTTTTGAGGTGTGGACACGCTTTTGCACAAGCAGTTTTTGCACAAGAACTCTTCCGCAAAAAGCTTTTTGTGCAAAAACCCTGCAGAGTAGATTAAGCCTTGAGCTTGGTACCAGTTATATTTTTCCCAAATCCATTCAAAATACTGCTCTCTCTTCTTTTGGACATCACTCCTCTCAGTCTTTCTTGGCTTGCAATCTCTACTGTATTAGATTTTTTGACTTCACCATTTAGCCCCACCCGATCAGCGCTAACAATTGACAATTACCCCAACTCTGCTCTTGCACTGATGTCAGTATCCATTGCCAATGTATCTTTTAGATATCCCCATACTTTCTACTATGCCACTAGCTGCGTATTGAAAACTCTCTCATCAAAACACGGGAACTTTATCCTCCTAAATCCCTCCTTAAAATCGGTCTCTGCCTCAAAACATACAAATCACCGCTGACTTTGTTAGATAAGTGCAAGCAGCCGCTTCTGTTTTTCTGCTGTTCATGTCAGCTCATCCTCCCAATCCACCCCTCACCCTAGGTTTCGTCCACCTGTTGAAGTTTGTCCAAAGCCTAGACTCATGAGCTCTCTATGGACAAGTTACAAAAGATGGTTCTGCCTCAGTCTGGCACAATACAATGCATCTTACACTGGGCGGGTCCTTGGAGTTATTGTAATATAATCACACCCTAGTTCAGGGGTGGGCAAAAGGGCTTCTGTGGGCTGGATCTGGCCTGCTAAGTGGGTTGATCTGGCCCCCAGAGGCCCTGCCGCTCCCCTGCCCCCAAGCCAATCAGGGCCTAGGGACCATGCAGTGCTTAGAGTCAACCCTGGCAGTTGACTAAGCGCCGTGTGCCAGAGATCAGGGAGCGAGAGACTTCATGCTCTGCCCTGCCCCAGGCCAATCAGAGTTTGGGGGCGGGAGAGAGTGCACAAAGTCTCCTCCCACTCTCCAAGGGTCATGGCACTTATAATCACCGCATGCTCCTTGCGGGATGGCAACAGGGTGGGTGGAGCAAGAAGTCTCTGGCTCCCTGCCCTCTGGTGTGGGGCACTACCAGGGTTGACTCTAAGCACCATGCGCTCCCCCATTCCCAGGCCCTGATTGGCTGGAGGATAGAGGGGAGCATGCAAAGTCTCCTCCCACCGTCAGGGGCATGAGCACCTACCTAGAGGGACCTGCCAGCTGTTCAGGACAGCTGATGGTTCTCTCTGGGGTGGGGCAAAGACTTCCTGTGCTCCCCCACCCCCAGACCAATCAGGGTCTGGGGGTAGGGAAGCACAAAAGGGCCCCGGCCCCCCCGAAATTATTGCTCACCCCTGCCCTAGTTGTATCTTTTGGTTTATTAGCCAAAATTCTTAGTGTATGCTCAACTCACATAGCTTGATTCCAGTGTAGGAACATCTGATGTATTACCACTCCAAAGTTAATAGAAAAACAGGAGGTTAAGTTGTTCAGTGTCCCAGGACTGCTGTATTTGAGGGCAAAGTTCCTCTACAGAAGCCTGTGACCTACCTTGATTAAAATAATCATGAAAGTGACCACTGCAATCCTGAGAGAAGAGAGATGTGTGTTTGCATCCCTATAACTAGGGCCCTACCAAACTCATGGTCTATTGCCGATTTCACAACCACAGGACTTGAAAATTGGTAAAATGTCATGCTTCCAGCTGTTTAAACCTGAAATTTCACAATATTGTAACTGTGGGGTCCCGACTCAAAGACTGGGAATAGAGGAGAGCTCACAAACCTGTTGTGGGGTGGGGGGAGGGTCATGGGGTTGCCACCTTCACAGCTGGACTCTGAAGACAGCAACCACACAGCTTCCTGCAGCTGCAGGAGGTTCCAAGAGGTAGAAGTGGATCTTATCTCCCTTGTGCTGCTGGGAGCACCCAGCTAGGGGCTTCTGGCTGCTAGTCCTGACCAGCTTGGGAGGGACAATACTTGCTCCCTCTGCACAGCTGCACAAAGTACTGCACCGCCTGCCCCACATTCAGCTGCAGGAACCTCAGGCTGCTGCCCAGACCCAGACAGCATCTTGCAGCAGGGGGAGGGACCCAGAGGTGGTTCTGATTTGGTTCTATCCTCCTCCCACCACCAGAGCAGTTTGCAGGGGAGGGACAGGTCCTGTCCTTCCCCTGCCCAGTCAGAGCTAGGAAGCTCCCTTTGATGGGGCATTCCTAAGAACCAGGAGACATCAGATTTCATGGGGAAGGGCTTATTTCACAGTCAGTGACATATTTTCCACATCTGTGAAATTGGTGGGGCCCTACACATAGTTATGAATCTGTGTGGAGCTGGCGTCTCCTGGCATTTGTACAATTTACAGCTGATACTGTGAGGGAGACGGGAACTGTACAGAGGAGGGAGAAGAGTTTATTTCCCTAACAATGGGACCCCCCCTCCTGGGAGGGCCCCTCTAGTTACAACATCTGCACTGCAGTTTTATAGCCCTCACAGCATGAGACCGGTAAGCCTGAGTTCGCAAACAGGGCCAGCCATTGGATCTACAGTCTAAGGCAATGATCACGCACGTACAACCTAGCTATGGAGTGAGGAAGAATCATATGTCAGACACCCTGAGAGAAAGCCACATTCAGCTGATGAAATGAAAGTCAGTCCAGGACTGTGTGTGGATTCTGGTTCATTTATTGAGGACGCGACAGATCAGACAATGTAAAATCACATGTAGTATCGGTACTTAAAAAATTACAATAAATTATTGAAGAATTAATAAAAGCAATTTTACTAGTAGCTGCTCTTCAGAGGTACATGACAGAGGATGCAGAGAATTAAGAAATATGCATTGGCTGTGAACACAGAGAACAACACAAAAGGAAATAACACTGAATACTGCATAACATGGCGCCTTACTTGGGAACATCCATCAGCTGGCTCCAGTCTGTGTCATACCCATCTGTTCTGAATACCAGCCAGAAGCACCAAGGTGGCTCTCCCTCAGTACTGGGTCTGCACCAGCCACATGCTCACATTCTTGCTCTCTGCCAGTGAAGCACATGCCACTGGAACACAGCTGATTTGCAGAGGGTAATCTGTAGCTGCATTCTCCAGCTGTATAAGCTTTTAAGCTTGCAGTGGGCTAGTCTGTTCAGAGTTCAGGTATGAGTGACGGCTGAGAGAAGATCACCGTCATTTTGCTCCCACTTCTGTTCTACTCTTCAGGACAGAGGTGTGAACAGCCCTTTGGACTCTGCTGTACAGGCATCCTGGAGATGCACACGCTCCTGGAAGCACTGTCCTTCAGAGAGGCTACATGAACGGTCACAAATGGCACCAGGGGCTCATGTAAGTTTTCTGCCTCAGATAGATCAGATCTGCTGTGGTCCTGTCCACAGAGAGAAACTGATCTGCTAAAGTTCTACCAAAAATACATTTGCTCTGTGACAATTTAGTGACTAATATTGGCTTGGTAAGCCTGGATCATACATTGATATTTGACTGATTTAACACAGATTTACTGTGGATCATTTTCAAAATGGAATCCTTTATTAGAATATTAAAATAAAGTAAAATATTGCCAGAAAATTAAATTACATAAATATTTTTCTTTTAAAATCTAATGGCTGTGCTAACAGAAAGGGAGGAAATTCAGTTGTGAACAAACTAATGTCAAGAGTAACGAGAGTAAGAATAATAGCTCTGTGTACCACCAGCATGGAACTGGGCTCCCATAAATGGATTTCCAGTTCAGGGCTTGCCTCCAGGGCCTAACCCCTTGGCAGACCCAATATTTATTACAGCTCTAGTGCCTCTTATATGTCAATGTCAAGGAGCTTGTAGCTTCAATCACAATTCAAAACCACCAATTCCTTGCATCAAAGAGTTAAAAACAGAGGCTTAGAAAACAGTGTTTACATGAAACCTTATTGTAAAACATTGAAAAGCACACGTTACTGGGATGGCAAATCACATCCAATAAACGCCTCCAGATCTGAGAAACTACTGCATTCAAATCTCGGGATACTGGGAGCAATGGGATACAACTGCCATGTATTTGCCAAGTTACAGCACAGTACCTAAGAACCTAGTCAGACTATTTTATGGGCCAGGACCTAGAGCACTCAGACATACTGCTTAGATCAGTGTGTGGCAGCCAAAGACGTACAAAGTTTCAAGCTGGGCTACACCTTCTGTACAAAATCACCCAGGAACCTACAGCAAATGAGGGCAGGGCATGGAGTGTCTGTGTCTGAAATAAAACTTCATCATTAAAAAAATAGCCATAGGCAGACATGCATAATTTACAGTGGTAATTGTAAGCCTTAGGGGCTATTAGGTTCTAATAGCTTCATGCTCTTGAGAATGTAATGTAATTCCACCAAGCAGGGACTCCAGGGAGGTGTCTATGTTCAACAGCCACTGTGACAAGCCACTTACTCAGCAGAATCTACTGTAGTTGTTCTGCAGTTATTGGTCTCGGTAAAAAATACAACAAACTCTTGCATCTGCCTGATTCTATAGCCTCACCCTTCATCTCCTGAGACATGACTGCTCTCCTTGAGTTCAGCCTGACAATGAGGAGGAGAGCTCATAGTCACTGGATGAGCTAAACTGTCTCTCTACTTTCTTCTGCTCCTTTATCTTCAGGCCAATGTCGACCTTCTTCTCAAAGTAGTTTACCAGGGCAATCTCTGTAAGCATGGAAGCCAAGACCTGTTCAAAGGAGATAGACCAGTCAGTGTCAATGGTGCTGCCATATCTCGCCGCTGAACTGCTAGCTTCACAACCAACCAGGACTGTGTCATCTGCAATATCTTCACACTGCAGAGAACCCGTGCTGACCATGGAATAGGAAGACATAGACATATCGTCTTTGGTTTCATCATCTGACAGGAGCTGTATGGGAGATCCTAGTCCTTCTCCACCATCCCCATCTCCAAGAGTTTGTTTTTCCTGCTGGGCTTCGGGGTCAACTTGGGGTTGTTGTTCCACTGTTGAATTTTGACTGTGTTCAGACATTGGTGACGCCTCTTCACTCACAGCATCCTGGGTATTGTTTGCTTTATAGTCTTCAGCCTTCTTCATGGGTCGGTTGGAGAACTTTTTCCCAACCTCCCCAATTCGTAGGAGGAGGCTAGCTACAGTGGCAATGGCATGGTATAGCTCTTGTTCCACTGGGTCCTCACTGAACATGTTGTAAAGGGTCTTGCATAACTCTATAAACTGCTCCTTTAAAAAAAGAATGCAAAACCATGTTAGGTTGTGAAATCTCCACTAAATCTACAACGGTGGATGAAACTACGAGCCAACCACTCAGAAGCACTGACTTTTATTAAGTAATCTTGGCCTAATTTTCTATGTCAGTATATGAAAACACTCTGAATGAGGCAACCTCTGCCACCAACATCACACAGCATACAGCGGGAAGTAAAAATACGAAACTGATCCTGCAAGTTATCTGAATGCAAACTGGAATTTGGCTTCCACAATTTAAAGGGTTAGGGAGCACTATGCAAATCTGTATAGCAAGCATTAAGTATGGACGACACCTCATAAATAAGGTTCTTGTGTGGTCCCCTTACTAAAGTTGCCTCTGACTTTCTGGGAGGATCCTGTGTGCTGCAATCTAGCCCTAAAGACTACAACTCCCATGAGCCCTTGAGGAAACCAGGGAGAGAGGACTGGTCCGGGCATGTTGAGAGAGGGTCTCAGCAGTCTGGGGCTCTCCATTTTGGGAGAGGGGAGCCAGACTGCTGTGGACTAACACACACACACAATCTACAAAGAACCTCCACTCCAGCTGTAGATCTCCAAGCATGCCTACGCAAGTGTCTGGGACTCTGAGTCCAGAGGAGTGCACACTCTGGGGTGGGATAAAAGGTGGCAGTGCAAATGCCAGATAGATAAGTTCCTATTATTTCTGTTAATGTTATTCACTGTTTATCTGTTAAACCTTGTTTCTTTAACTTGTTAAGTAGAGGTGTGTTCATTCTAATATAATCAATTAGATGTATATTATTTATAATTTGTAATTGTTGTTCTGGAGTTAGATCCAGATTATTGCTGGAATAATTTTATTCCTGGAGGCTCCCAAAGCACACCCTTAAGTGTGTACAGGGCCAGCCAGGTGGAGGCACTGCCACTGCATATTCTTTATGAGCCAGGGACTGCAGCAAGGAGGTGGATAAAGAATCCCCAACTTAACACCACCACCCCTGGGGTACTCAGGATCTCCTTTTATGTTAAAACTATCAGGTGCCCAGGCACACCTGTGAGTGTGACCTGCTCTCGAGTAACCTGGGGAGGAAAAAGGGGGTAACATATGATTCTGTGATCTTATATTAGATCATACCCTCCAAGGAGCAGCTTATGTTTTCATGATGCAGGACACTTACTAATATGGAGTCCGATATTTTGCATAGTGTCCATCTTCAGAAGGTAGTGGAATCCCTGACAGTGTGTAAATCAGAAGAATGGCACTGAGGGATGTTTGAAGCACACAGCATTACAGGGGAGCCTTTTATTAGTTTTAATAGGAAAAGGAGTGTTACATGCATCTAATATTCACTGCTAGAAATACATCATATACTTGAAACAAAATTATTTTCGTTTATAAAAGTGAAATCTCAAACTAGTTCCCCATAGGATGCTTGTCCATATAATAGAATTACCAAAGTTTGACATTATTAGAACTCTAAATATTGAAACAGCAAGGAGCGCTGCAAGTAAAGACTGAGGTGTACTGGCAGAAATATGAGCCTGCTGTATCCTACCTTACTCCATCCTTGCTGTAAATAGTTGAACTGGAAGCACATTCTCAGTTCACTTCCTACCTGGTTTATTTTGGGGAGATCCTTGATGTTTTCTTTCTTGGAATTCTTTTCCTTGGCCAACATCCGCAGGTAGTATCTGTAATCTTGGGGGCTGGTACCCTTCTCCTCTGCAAGGCAAGGCCAGATCATTATAGTCAGGGGCTCATGGACTGAGGTGCCAAACCAACCTAGTTTCTTTCTCTGATAAGGTTACTAACCTAGTGGATGTGGGAGAAGCAGCAGAGACAATAGACTTTGATTTTCATGAATGTCTTAAATAAAGGAATGGAAAGTATGCCTATCAAGTTTGCTTATGACACCAGACTTGCAAACGTACATAAGAACATAAGAACAGCCGTACTGGGTCAGACCAAAGGTCGATCTAGCCCAGTAGCCTGTCTACCGACAGTGGCCAGCACCAGGTGCCCCAGAGAGGGGGGACCGAAGACAACGATCAAGCGATTTGTCTCCTGCCATCCCTCTCCAGCCTCTGACAGACAGAGGCCAAGGACACCATTTTATCCCCTGGCTAATAGCCTTTTATGGACCTAACCTCCATGAAATTATCTAGCTTCTCTTTAAACTCTATTATAGTCCTAACCTTCACAGCCTCCTCTGGCAAGGAGTTCCACAGGTTGACTACACGCTGTGTGAAGAACTTTCTTTTATTAGTTTTAAACCTGCTCCCCATTAATTTCATTTGGTGTCCTCTAGTTCTTCTATTATGGGAACTAATAAATAACTTTTCTTTATCGGCCCTCTCCACACCACTCATGATTTTATAGACCTCTATCATATCCCCCTTCAGTCTCCTCTTTTCTAAACTGAACGATAGGATTACAATTCAAAACAACCTTGACAAATTGGAGAACTGGTCCAAAACTCAACAAGACAAAATTAAAAAATGCAGTGTGCAAAGTAGTACACTTAGCAAGGAAAAATAAAACACACAAATACAAAATGGGGAACAATGGAGTAGGTGGCAATAGTGAAGAAAAGGATATGGGTATCATAGCGGATCGTAAACTGAATGAGAATAAACAATGCAATGCTGTGTAGGTTTATGCAATGTAATGTGCCTCAGTGTACCTTACCAGCCATCCTTTCTGACTTGCAGAAAGACACGGTCTAGTGCTGTTGGTAAAGGTACATTAAGCAGGCTGTTTGTCTTTGTTATTAATGCTAAAGCAGGAATAGACCAAATGGATCTATGTCACTACCGTCACCCTTTTACTGTTAGGATTTTTTTTCCTCTTTAATTTAAGAGTTTAAAAATGTTTTTTTACTAGATCTGTTTTTGTGAAAAAGGCTACCATTATTCTGGGGTGTATTAACAGGAGTGTTGAATGTGAGACAGGAAATAACTGTCCTGCTTCACTTGTCCGTAGTAGGCCTCAGCTGGAGAACATTGTTCAATTCTGGGAGACCTGACCTGAGGAAAGGTTAAAAAAAATGGGCATGTCTGAAAAAAGAAGACTGGGGGTGGGGTTTTGTTAATGGTTTTCAAATACGTTAAGGCCTAAAGAACACTGACCAATTATTCTCCCTGTTTATTAAAGGACAGGCAAAAAGTAATCCATTTAATTTGCAGCAAGGGAGATTTAGGTAAGGAAAAACTAATTATAAGAATAATTAAGAACTGGAACAGGCTTCCAATGGAGGCTGTGGAATCTTCCTCACTGGGGCTGTGTCTACACAGCAGTGTTATTCCAAAATAACAAAGAGTGTGTCTACACCGCAAGCCATTGTTTTGAAATAATGGTGAGCTGGAGGACTTCTTACTCCAATTCCTATAACCCTCATTTTACAAGTTAAGGAAGTTGAAGGATGGGTGCATTTTCTTGGACTTCCTGCTGTGTAGACAGCATCAAAAGTCGAAATAAGCTATTTCGACTTAAGCTATGCAACTGATGTAGATCAAGTTGTGTAGCTTAATTCAACTTTTGACCTGCTGTGTAGATGTGCCTTGGATGTTTTTAAGAACAGATAAGACATGTGACAGAGATGGTCTAGGTTTACTTGGTTTTGCCTCTCAGCTCAAGGTGGCTGGACTAGATAACCTCTTGAAGTCCCTTCCAGCCCTACATTTCCATGATTCTATGCTGTCAAGAATACTCTTTTAGAGAATTTCAATGACTGGACTCAGAAGATAAGACCTACAGAGAAGGACACTACTTGTAGACAGACAGTTTTTCTCATGTGATGCAGAGGATCAAATTATATCACTGCTGCAATCAGCTTGGCTGTTACGAAAATCTTTGCTCTTCTATACATTTTGCAGATCTGCAGTTCATGGCTAGTGAGTTATGGCCTCTCTAGCACATCAAGACCCTTTCAGCTGGGAGGCTGTTACCATACCAGAATCCAGGTTGGTAGAAATTCCCTGGACCACGTTACTTTGTGCCTTTACCATTAGAGAAGCCTTGAGAGATCTCCTATGTTTGGGTGAAGGGTGGGAATTAAATAGCTTGACACTGCATGAATGACACAACGAGGAAGAGCTACTACTTGTCCATATTAGGGAACAGTTACCTTTTTCTTTAGAGTCTCCACTTCTCCCTTCTCTGTCTTCCTGAGTAGCTGCTTCTAAACAAACATTGATATTGGAAAAGTGATTCAGCGAATATCCTATTTACTGCATAGTGTACAAGCAATACAAAGACTGTTACTCATATTTGGAAAGTCAACAACTCAGGCTGTGAGATGTCTACTAAAATTTCCAAGCCTTATGGCCTTTTCTAAAATAGCAGTTTTCTTAATTTTTTCCACTGGTGCAGTTCAACAGGTAGTAGCTATGATGCTGGCAGACTAGGTGCCACTTCATGCCAAGGGCCTAGGTTTCAACTGAACACTGACAAATAAATAACTGGAACCAATCTGAGTTACCTGCTAGCGTTGTTAAAATAGGCATTAGAATTATAAAAATATGTTTAGACTTTACAGAATGCTCGTTGAGTTGATGCTAGGGATGTAAAATTTTGATTATTTGGCTAATTGAACAGTTGATGCAATTTGCATCGACTATTCAATTGATCGATAAGGGTGCTTTCGCCTTTGAAGTGTAACAATAGCCCCAGGGCTGTTGCTACACTTCAAAAGCGAAAGCACTGCAGGGAGCATGGGGCCATTGGGGGTCTTGGCAGTCCCCCACTGGCCCTGTGCTCCCTGCGGCATTTCAAAGCGGCAGCGCTGCATGGAGCGTGGGTTCAGCGGGGAGTTCAGCGGGCATTGCTTTGAAATGCCACATGCAGCCCAGGGCCAGCTGGGGACTCCAGGCTGCATTTGGCGTTTCAAAGTGGGAGTGCTGCATTGAGCCCGGGGTCAGCGGGGGACTCCCCCGCTGACCCAAGGCTCTATGCAGGCACTGCTACTATAAAATGCCATGTGGAACTTGATGCTCGGCTGTAAGCGGCATTTCAAAGCGGCAGCGATGCGTGGAGCCCGGAGTCTGGCCACAGGCTCCATGCGGCACTGCTGCTTTGAAGCACCCTCTCCACTTCCCCCCTTTGCTGCCTTTCTGATAGAGGCAGCAAGGAGTGGGGATGCAACTAGTCAACTAGTCATTCACGTCCCTAGTTGATGCATGCATTAATCTCACTTATATCTGTGTCCCATGTCAGAAAGAAATATTCACGTGCTTGCTCTGTAACTGTATATCACCAGTCAGGAGAGAAACATTACCAAGTGTGAAATATTAGCTTTCCACAGGAGGTGCGATCTCCTGTCCAACAAAAGAAGGCCCATAAACACCAGACAAACCAGTGTGAAATATAAGGCGACAAAAAAAACTGTCAATTGCTCTCCCCATCCCCAGCTGAAGAGGACACACACAACTGAATTCCTCCCAACAGCTGAACTTGCAGCTTGAAGCAGAAGGTGGGAAAATAAAAGGCCCTAAACAAGGAGAAACCATTTATTTAATGCCACTTGATCTTGGAGGAGCAACTACTAGTAAGCATAAGATCCCTGGTGTGTGGCCTGGGTTACCCCAAGGGACACACAGTGCTTTCACATTATAGATGCTTCAATTATCGTTTGACACTCATTTGTGTGTGTGTGTGTGTGTGTGTGTGTGTGTGTACATTTACCTTCTTTAACCTCGCAAATAACTCGTTTCCTTTTCCTAGTTAATAAATCCTTAGTTTACTATAGGACTGGCGACAAGTGTTGTCTTTGGTGTGAGATCTAAGGTGCTATTGACTTGGACTAAGTGACTGGTCGTTTGGGGCTGGGAATAACCTGAATATTGCTGTAGTAGGGACCATCTATGACAGAGGTGAGCTTACCTTGATGGCAAGGTGCCGGCCTCTTCCAGGCCCTATCCCCACCATCCGTCACCTGCCTTTTCCTGCCCCTGCTCCGCCCACTCCTCCTTCCAAGCCCCCTGGCCTCTTCCTGCCCCTGCTCTGCCTTCATTCCTTCATGCCCAGTTCTGTCTTCTCCTTTGAGCATGTTGTGTCCCTGCTCTGTCCTCACCCCACACCTCCTGCATGCTGCTGAACAGCTTATCGTGGCAGACAGGAGGTACTGGGAGAGGGAGGAGTTGATTGGCAGGGCTGCTGGCAGCCAGGAGGCCTGGCGGTGAGGGGAAGGGCTGGCTGCCGATGAGTGCTCAACACCTAATTTTTATCTGGGGGGTTCTCCAGTGCCTATGGCAAGATAGAGCAGAGTATGCCAGCGGACTGTCCATGTTAGGGCTGTTATAGTGCCTGAGGAGTTCACACTTGATAATTGGTTAGTGAAACACACAACCAACGTGGGGCTTGTGCCCTGCTTTTACAGTCTGCCCTGAGGTTGGTATTCAAGTCCTTGAGCTACTTGACAGTAGCAATGGTAGAAGTTTGAAGGAAAGTGTTAGCGTATACATGGCCCGGGACAGGCATGACAGGGACAGGAAAGGACAGAGGAAGAAGGAAAGACTGATGGGATAAGTGAGCAAAAAGAAATATGAAATAAAGAGACAGGTAAGAAAAAAGCACAATATAGGAAAGGGGAAGGGGAAAGGGAAAGGGAGAGAAGAATGAGATAAAACAGACATGGAAATTAACTAAGCCCTATGATCTATTATAGCAACAAGCCCCAGAAAGGAAAGAAGATACAACAAAAGCAAGAGAAATTAAAAACATAAAGATGATGGAAACGTTTTAGACAAATATATTATTCAATATCATCACTGTTATCTGAGTAATTTATTTGACACTCTTATTCAACCGGCTCTTTAGAGGGCCACACCTTATTTGCCAAATATTTTATTCAATACATATTAGTGAAATGTATCAACTAATACATTTAACCTTTTATCCTGCTATTTGATCAGTCATAGTAGTAAGCTACATTTTAAAAAGCATGTTACATAGAAAGTTGATTGACTATAGCACACGACTTCTTTGCTTTTAACTGCGAGCTTTTGGGAGGCCCTGGTGATGGAGGCCATTGTTTTCTTTACATTCAAGTCAATTTTTCAATGTCTGGGAATAGCCATTGCCAAATTCCACTGAAGGAATCATAGATCAAACCTCTTCTCAAGGTCAAAATCTTTGTTATATCCAAAGGTGACTGATTCTAATTAGAGACGTAACCCAGTAGATAGACTAAACAGGTTCTAAAAGGCATTTAAAATACATGAGGCAAACCAAGTGCTAGGTATAGCATTGCATGTATAGAGGGAGTGCCACTGGAAAACAGCAATAAGATAATTTCATGGTGTTTTAAATGGAGGTTCAGTGCCAGCAGATAATCTTAGCATAATAATAAAGAGCTCTGTGTGCGCACACACCCTAGAGACTAACCTTGAGACTCACAGTGCAAGAAGAAATCCAGCTCTGAGACAAAAGGAGATACTGGAGCAGCAGAGAGAGGGGTTGAGGGCAGGGTAAATCCAAGGAAAAACAGAGAGAGTGGGCCAGACACAGACACACACATACAGAGGAAAAAAAGAGATAGTGAGACTCTCATGAGAACCCTGAACCTGGAAACAGGAAAGACGGGTTGGTATCATTAGTGTTCCTCCTCAGCAGTCTCTGTGAGCGTTTCACAGCATGCTGCATTCCCCTCTAGAAAAGCAGAGATTAACACAGCTCATCAACTGACTTCTCCCCATATGCAACAATGAGAAGCAACCCTAAAACACTACTACTGATCAACCCTGCTTTGGAGGGTCACCATTCAAACCCCTTTTAGTTGGGTTAGAGCAGGTGTTAACTTTACCTTCTGTTGGGGTATTCTCTGTGAAATAACTTGTGGCCTCCAAAGCAGACTCCGCCTCTTCTGAGATCAGAGCTGTACATTCAGATAAAGACAGAAAGCAAGAGATGATTAGATTACTTAGCCACTTCCACCCCCTCATCTGCTGTCACATAATGTCCCTGTGGAAATGACAGCACTTACTTACATATGTATCATTTTTAAAAATATTTAGCTCTCCTTCAGTGCAATTCAGTAGTTAGAAATGAGGGTGGCTACATTACCAGCTTTTTGCAGATCACCAGCAAATTCTTCAAAGAACAATTTGAGAATCACTGAGGTAGGACATTCACTCATTCATGGGTGGTGGGTATAACAGGCCAAGGCAGGCTCTGCTTCCCTTGGCATTGCTACTCCCGCTAGACTCCCAGTTGCAGGATTTTAGGGGAAGTTTTTGTTTTCTTATGCCCCGTGCAGGTTCTGGGGTGGCTTTGGGGCAGTATGTGCTCTTCAGCTTTCTGGGTTCATCAGCAGTCTCCCTAGGCTCCAGACTACTTATGAACCCAAGAAGCTGAATAGCACACACTGCCCCTCAGCTGCCCCAGAACCTGCATGGAGCATATGAAAAGCTTCTTTGGAGGAGGGCGAGAGGGTTTTCCCCGCAGTGGGGAACGTGGGGTATGTGGAGGAGAGCGTGGGGAAGCTGGTGTGAGGTTCACCTGGGCAGGCGGAGGGGGCATTAGGGGATCTTTGGGCAGGTGGGGGACAGTGTTTCTCTAAGTTTTCCCTCCTATGTGCAGAATGAGTTTTGTTATGTACACTGATATGGAGGTTACATCACCTCCATATTTCTGTGCTTAAAAATGCATGTAGCAGGAGTGGGGCCAAGGAATACTGAGTATAGGAGGGGGCTCAGGGCTGGGGCAGAGGGACTAGGTGCAGGGTGAAGACTCTAGCCGGGGGTGCGATCTCTGTGTTGTTCAGGGATGAGGGGCTCATGACAAGAGCAGAAGTTTGGGGTGTAAGGAAGGGAGGGTTCCAGATGGGGGTGAGGTCTCTGAAGCGGGGCTGAGGATGAGGGGCTGGGATGCAAGCTTCCCTGGGGCTACATGGTTAGAGAGGGTTCCCTGCAGTAGAACGTGGACTGGTGGGGGGTGGAGAGAGGTGCTTCCCCTAGATGCAGCAGGTCTGGGCTTGGCTGGGACCAGGAGAGGGGCACATGCTTCCTGGCTGCAGCAAGTACAGGTTGGGATTGGTTGGGGAGAAGAGCGCCTGTCACCCCACCATGGCAGGTCCAGGCTGGAATTGGTCGGTGCCAGGGGAGAGGTGTTGTGGTAGGTCTGGGGAGAAGCATCTCTCCCCATTGCAGCTCTGAGTACCTGCATGGTGCTTAACAGGCAGCTCCATGGCCGTACAGCTTAAACGGAACTTAAGTTAGGGGAAAGGCTTAGGGTGCTAGGGGGAGAGGCTCAGGCTTCAGCTGGCCAAGGACAACTCTGGACAAGGGAGGGGGGGACACTCGGCTCCAGCTGTGGTGGAGGAGCAGGGGGTTTTGGAGCTCTGCCTGTAGGGGTGATGGCCCTCTTGTGCAGAAGGGGCAGAGCCAGGGACTAGCCTCTGCAAAAGGGGGCTCCAACTGCTGCCCATGCGCTGACTGCCTTCAGCAGGTAGAATACAAAAAGCTTTACTGACGGATCTAGCAAACCACATGAGGATTCCCCTCAGGCAGTGTGTAATAGCAGACAGCGATTGGTGTCTGAGAGAAGGAGGAAGAGATCGCTCACCCGGAGGCAGGTGTAATTTGTAAAGTAGTTTAAGCTTCTCAGTCAGGTCGCCATGGTACATCCCACCTGTGGAGGGAAAGGACGTGATAAATGGCCCTTAGTGCGGGAATGGGAACCTAAGGCCTGGGGGCTGGATGCAGTCCCTGGGTTGCCTGGATCTGGCCCCCGAGGCTTAGGGTCTCCCCCAGCACTGGGGAGCCCACGGTGGCACTCAAGCCCCCACGCTGCCTCCCCGCCGCTCCTGGCCCCCGACTGTTTTTTCTGTGGGTCAGCAGCCTCCAACCCAAAAATGGTTCCCCACCCTTGCCTTAATGTTAAGAGTTGCTGACAGGATCCAAACAGACCCCTAGAGTTCCCATACAAGCAAGGGGAAGTGTAAAGCTCTGCAGCTACAGGCCCTGTACGGAAAGAAGTATGTGCTGCTGCAAAGTCTAACTTGTTTAGCAAGACGGCATTTCTCATTCAGTCATAAGGTTGCTGAAATGACATCCTCCTCCCTCCCATTCTGGATGAATGCTACTGGCTCTCGGTAGCTGTGTGCTCGGAACAGTGGAAAACTTTGCTAAAACATTCCACAACAATGCTAGGAAAGACACTTACTCATCCCTGTAACAAACTCCTTGAAGTTAATGAGAGAGTCCCTGTTCTCATCTAGAAGTCGGAACATTCGCCCTGCCAGCACAGGAGTGTGGAGGCCACAGGACCAGGGGGTCAGACTGGCAAAGAGCTCTCTGAACTGCTCCAGGTCAATGCGATACTGCTCCAGGTAGGGCAAGCTCTGATCTCGGTGGGCGGTTGCAGTGCGGCTGCCCCCCCAGTAACAGTTCATCAGGTGTCTTGCCTTTTGAGAGGAAAGGGTTAGTAGGACACATTATTAATAGTTACGCAAAACTTCGTGCTTAAAAACTCAGTTATTCTGCATGGACAAAGACTATGTAGCCAGAGAAGAAACTGTTGCCCATATATCTATTTTTCTCCTCCCCTTTTTTATGCCTAAGTCCACATGTGATTATGGCTGAACTATGAGAAATGAAGAAGAGGCTCTGACCAAACTAGAGACTGATTTCAAGGAGAACAAAAGGCATCATCAGATTTGGATAAAGACGCAGAGAGAAATCTGGCTACACAAGCCTTGTCACAGAACAAGAAAGTTTTCTGAGCAAGTCATACTATCTGACTTTGCAAGTCCACATACCTTGCAACTGAGTATTTCAAAAGGCATCACAGATATTGAGTCTTAATGCCTTTGTGAGGTAGGGAGCTATCATCCCATTTCTATGTATGGGCAAACTGAGACACAGAGGGGTTCAGTGACTTGCCCAAGATTATAGAGCAGTGGCAGAGCTAGGAATAAAACCAAGGTCTTTTGAATTCCTGTCCCCTATTCTAGCCACTAAACATTCCTTTTCAACACTGCTACCATCTCATCCTGAAGGAATAACATTTAAATACTGTGACCAGTTTTCCAACTTTGTAAAAAAACAATCAGACATACTAGAGATAATCCCAGTGGCACTATGTATCTGAGCGCTCCACTTCTGCTTCTGATAGATCAGATTCTGGACAGAAACACACCATTACTTCCCCATTCACTCAATCTTGGATAGCTATCTGTGTATCTGAGGGAGAGTGATTAGGGCATATTCTTCCCCATGCTGGGTTTACCTTGAACACCATATAAAGCTCTTCTAGTTCTTCCATAGAAAAACCAATATCACCAGATATAGCTCGGACCTTAAGTAAGAAAGGGAAACAGAATAAATATTTATTCATTAGTCAAACTGGACAATGAATTCACTTGCTATAAGAAACAATATGAAAAAGGCCAATGAACTTGACTGGGGTGGGCAATAATTTTTGATGGGAGGGCCACTCCAAGAATTTGGAAAGTGGTCAAGGGCTGCACTCTTCCATGATATTAATGGAGGAGGTGTGCGGCCTGAAATGGAGGTTGGATGCAGAAAGGAGCTTGCAGTAAGGGATTGGGGTGCAGAAGAGGGGGTGGGGTCTGGGAGGGAATTTGGGTGAAGGAAGCAGTTGTGATCTGGGGAAGGGGACTAGGGTGCAGGAGGGGGTAGAGGAGTTTGGGCTGTGACCTAGGGCATGAGGGGGTTGTGATTTGGGGAAGGGGTTCAGAAGGGAGTGCGGAGATTCTGGCTGTGACCTTGGGAAGGGGATTGGTGTGCAGGATCTGGGAGGAGATATGGGGGCAAGAGGGGGGCAGAAGGTTTGGGTTATGTGGGGTAGGGGGGCAAAGGGTTGGGATGCCAGAGGCAGACTCTGGCTGGGAGACTTACTTGCTTGACTCCAAGCCAGCAGCCTTCTCAAGCAGACTCCCTACCTGCCCCACACCCACACTGGCTACAGGGGCCAAGAAGTTTCTGAACATTTACGAGCCTGAGAGGAGGAGTCGTAGGGTGCTTTGCAAGCTGCCTGTTGATTACAGGCAGCTCCCATTAGCCGGAAACCTCCCCCAGGCTCACAACTGTTCAAACAGAGCCCTGCAAGTTTACAATGGCCGCTTTTCTCAGCAATGTGTAGCAAGTCTGCCTGAGGCTCCTGGCTGCGTCCACGGGCCGAATGCAGCCTGTGGAGGGTATTTTGCCCAGGCCTGGACTTGACTAAGGTATAGGGGAGGAGGGATTGTGTAGTGATTTTGAATTGAAGAAAAACAGCCTCACACCTCTGAGTTGCTCTGACAGGAAGATGCCAGCAACTGTTGATGCAAAAAACAGCTGTACCCTGCTTGAACAAGGAGGGTAAACGCAGTAAAAAAAACTACTCAAAGTATTAACTGTGTTCCGTGCTGTCAGTGCATTGTAATTGGAAGTGGGAACAAGTGTCACCCGTTTGCCTTTGTTTCACACTGTGGCTTTCCACATCTACAGTGAGAGGGGCAAAGGGAATAGGTTTCACAACTGGCACAAATAAAAGAATAAAGCAGCAGTCAGATACAGATGCTCCCCCTCTGCCCCAGTCCCCTGTGGATTCCCAACATCACAGCCCACACTCTGGGCAAGAGGGATGTCAGTATCTGCCTTCCTGTTATGCTCAAAGAACCAAGATAAAGCGTAACAAACACAGGCAACTCGAACCAGTGGAAAGTGTTTGCAAGGGCTGTTGTGGTTCATGCGGGAAATGATTTATCTACGATGAACTTCTATCAGGGTCACGTCTTGGCATTTCAACTCTTTTCTCTGATCTTTAACCCAACTTGTTAGACTAGATTAGTGGTCTCCAACCTTTTTACACCCAAGATCACTTTTTAAATGTCAGAACAAGCCAAGATCTACTGCCCCATCCTTCCCCCAAGACCCCATCCCTTCCTTGAAGCCCCGCCCTCTCTATTCTCCTCCTCTCTATCACTTGCTATCCCCAGCCCTTATACACTCTACACTGCTGCTTTTTTTCCGATTCTTCTGTAGGAAGAGGTTTTTCCAATATTTGGCCTGTCTAGACTGGACCAAATGTCAGAAAACCCCTTCTTTGGGAAGTCCCCTTATTCCTCGGGGAACGAGGAATACAGGGGTTACCGAAAGGGTATGCTTGCTCTTCCACTAAAAAAGCGGAAGAACAAATATGTCCTTGGGTGCGGAAGAATTTTTCTGGGATATCTCTGGAATCCTGGAAAAGCTCCTGCAGTCTAGCCATACCCTCACTGGGTTGAGACAGGATGTGTGGGCTCTGGGGTGGGAATGAGGGATTTGGGTGTGGGAAGGGGTGAGAAGTGCAAGCTCTGGGAGGAAATTTGGATGCAGGAGGTGGTGGAGAAGGGGATGCTGGCTCGGGGAGGGGGCTCCAGGCTGGAGAGTGTAGGGGTACTAAGCAAGCCACAGGCTTGTGGATGTAAGGGTGCAGGAATTTGGGTTGGGGTATGTGAGGGGCTCAGGGCAGGGGGGTCCAGTGTTTGATAGAGAACATAGGTTTAGAGAACATGACCTATGAAGCCAGGCTTCATGAACTGGGCTTGTTTAGTTTGGAAAAAAGAAGATTAAGGGGGGACATGATAGCGGTTTTCAAATATCTAAAAGGGTGTCACAAGGAGGAAGGAGAAAATTTGTTCCTCTTGGTTTCTGAGGACAGGACAAGGAGTAATGGGCTTAAAGTGCAGCAGGGGAGGTTTAGATTGGACATTAGGAAAAAATTCCTAACTGTCAGGGTGGTCAAATATTGGAATAAATTGCCAAGGGAGGTGGTGGAATCTCCCTCTCTGGAGTTATTTAAGAACAGGTTAGATAGACATCTGTCAGGGATGGTGTAGATGGAGCTTGGTCCTGCCTTGAGGGCGGGGGGCTGGACTCGATGACCTCTCGAGGTCCCTTCCAGTCCTATTATTCTATGATTCTATAGGCGCAGATCGTGGGTCGGTTGGTCTGGCATGCGTACGAGTTTTATGATGCTGCGGCCAGATGGGGACTTGGCCCCAATTGGGGGTTTGTTGGCCAGGCTTCATTTTTAAATAAAATACTATGTCAAACACAAAAAGTTTCTTCATTGTCTTTATTTCTGAGAAGGGCAGGGAACCTATTTTGAGTCAACGGTCACTAACCCACACAAAAGTCAGTTGGGCCACACAAGTGAGATGAAAAAAAATAACTCCTCCAAAACCCCATAAGCCTCACTAATGTGGCCCCAACTGTGCTAGTGGAAACAGGGGACATGGTACTGGGGAAGGGTGCTAGTGGGTGCTGGGGCAGGGTGCCAGTGGGGGCAGGGGAGAGGGTTCTGCAGGAGGGGACAGAGTGCCAGTGGGAACAGGGGACAGGGAGTCGCCTGCACCCACCTCCTCCTGGGATCCCCCCCCCGCAGAGGAGATAACCCTGGCATGCGCCTCCTCCGGGGCCAACTCCCCACTCCCGCATAGGAGGGAAGCCCTGGCGCGCGCCTCCTCTGGGGACTTCTCCCACCCCCTGCAAGTTCCCAGCATGCCACAGACCTGGGAGAGGGGAGCAGCCAGCGCACTTCCAGAACCCCTGGAAGTGGCACACAGCTTCAGGACTTCCTTCCACCCTGCAGGAAGCCGGCACTACCTCCATTGTTACTGGAGGTAGGTGGTGGGGCTTCTTGAGGGGGGAGGGAAATCAAGGGGGTCCTGAACGTCTCACAATCGACTGGTCGAGCCCTCACGATCAACCAGTTGATTGCGATCGATGGGTTGGTGACCACGGGACTAGATCAATGAGAACTAAATGGAAGTTGCTCAAGCTAGCAGATACTTTTTCCACATTAAAGGTATGATAGTTAATCACCTCATCTTGGGTTTGCTAACAGAGCAGATTTTCAGAAGACAAAGCAAAATGTGGTGCACTAACATGCCAGCTCGTAGCTCATTTACTCTGGACATTACCTACCACGCTCCTCTTGGCTGTGTCCTCCAGAGACTGGATCACCTTCAATCTTTGCTTAAAGCGCATCTGCTCAATGTCATCGGCCCTCAAGTTGCTGAATTTCTAGTGTGAGGAAGAAAAGCACATCAGGTCACCCACATCTACCAACAAGACAATGTCTCATATTCAGAGACATACTCTTCAGCAAATCAGGAATCTCCTCAGAAGTGACCTGAAAGGGCAAATGGCCTTCTGTCAATAGAGATGGTCTGCTAAGACTCTTGTTAATGCGGTGGGAAGTATAAGAACATGTAAGGAGATGTGCCAGCAGTTATTAAGAATCCAAGCTCAAACTGAGTGATGTACCTGTCAGGAAGCAGGGCTTTTTCTCAGCAGCACTAATCAAACATGTAAAATTATTTGGATGAGGTGACTAACAAGGAAGGAACCAGAAGGAACAACCAGTCAGAAAGGGAGTGCTCTGAAGGAAGAGGGTGCAACGGTAGCAACAGGCTTTCCTCGAGGAGGAGACAAACAGTCATGAGTTTATTAGAAAATGAAACTAGAAAGCAACGTAAGATGCATAAGAAGAAGAGCATACGGGTGAGCTGAAGGGAGAGGAAAAGGAGAATGACAGAAGACAGAGAAGAGAGAGAGAGCACAGAAAAAAAAAATCCACCAGAAACACTAAGTCTTTTCCCAATTTCCCTCATTTCATTCAGGGAGAGAATGTGTCAAGTGTGCATTGACGACTGTCCTAGTAATTTAAGCATAAAAATAATCTATTTCCCTCCCATGCAAATATACTCATTGTCATCCCTGAAGAGCTACGTTTGCAAAAGTATACAGTAGTTGAGACACAGGGAGAGCTACTGCTATTTCTGCAATATGGTCTTTTGGATTCATGGTTGTTGCTGCCACCACTCTCAGGCTTGGAGACTCCCTGCCATCCAGCTATCATCACAACACGGACACCTCAGGAAGGGATTCATGTGCATCTCAAATCTTACACTATGAATTGTGTGAGGATACACTACTCACAATTCTCTAAAAGTTTATCCTCAAAATATTTCTTTCAATATTCAGTAGTTAAGTTACCTCCAGAATTCCCTGGCATTGGCTAACCCTGTATGCAAAATAATAGCCTAAAGCTTTTCTCCACAGTATGGAGGGGGAGATAGGTCTCTGACCTATCAGCTTCAGTAGGCGCTTCAGTTTTTAACATTAATTAGCATTGTTGGTGAGATGTCATGGAATCTGAAAAGAAGAACAAAAGGATTGAACTCCCCTCATATTTAACATGAAGACTAGTGGCCGAATCCTGCATTCCTTGCATAAGCCATATTCCTAGTGAAGCCAATTTATCTTTTCTGCATAAGGAACGCAGGACTGAGCTTTAAACAGTAAGATCACTGACGTAAAAATTAATCTTGCCTCTGACCTCATAGGATGCTTTGATGAGTTCAAAGATATCAATTTCAAGCGGTGGCTCATCTCCACTTGTGAGTAAGGCATGTGGGTGTGGAATAGGTGGGGAAATACTCTGTCGATTAACTACATTGTCCAGGTATCTGTGGGGACAAACAGGAACAAAGGCAGGGCTCTAGGTTAACACAATCTCAAGAATTAACAAAAAGGCAAGTAAGATCTTAAACATTATTCCCACTACTTTTAGGCAGACAGTCTCATAGGCTGGGAGAATTCATTTCTTCCAAGCTAGCCTGCCTGGGTCCATAGATGTTTCTTTCACTCTAGTACAATCAGTTTCATTCTTTAGACCACCAGTTTTTAATGAGGTTTCAAAAAACAAAGTGCAGGTGGTGGCATGTTTGGAATTGATCAACATGCCACTTCGCTACAGGACGCCTTTTTATAGTTGCTGCATTACATGAAGATTTGCCTCACCAGAGTTTAGGAGCTCCTCCTTTTAAGAGCTGTTACTGACAGCAAATCAGAATTCTCTCTAGATTGGGGATCAGCAACCCTTCAGACTTCAAACTGAGGCTAGACATCAGGGATGCACTGTGCCAGGAACTGAGGTTCCAAAGGACACTAAGGAACATGATGGAATTCTCCAGACTTTAGTTTTCTAACATGAGAACCTATTTTCTTGGATGCAGTAAAAGAAAGTCAATTGAATGCATTTGGATTCTTTTGCAATTATTTGTTTGTATATGATCAATTAACCATTATTAACACTCTTTTTTTCTTTTATTATTAAACTTTTAGTTACTAAAGGATTGGTATAACTGTGATTACTGGATTGAAATATCTGAGTTATATACTGGCCTGACTAAACGGTTGACCTCTTAGAATTAGAAGACTCCTATATTTGATTAAACTTGTTTTCATTAACCACTTATTATAGAGTGTTTAGGAGGTGGTGAGACAAAGGCTCGAATGCTCGAGGAGACTGAATTTTTGACTTCCAGATAACCAGTGAGCTGAGACAGAAGTTCACTTTTATGACCAGCTTGGTATAATCTAATATTAGAGACTAATCTGCTGGTTATTATAAGGTGTCACAGGACTCCTCACTATTTTGAATTTGGCATCCTCAGCTGTGACCCTCTGAGACACAATGACATCTAGTAAATATTGTTCTAAATGCGAAGCAATGAAGATTGCAGGCGCATGAAAAATACTAAAGAAGTCACGCCAGATTGGAATGGGAGTACCATAGCTATTTATTTAATGATATGGAAGTGTAATGAGGACTACCTGCCCAGGGCAGTCATGGCTTCGCCTTCATCACAGCAGTTTAGCAGCTTCTCCATGTTGGCATCCAGGATGGCCAGAGACACCTGCAAGATAAGCTTGATGCCTTCATAGAAGAAGCAGTCAACAATAACCACAGCACTCTCAAAGGGCATGACACTGAGGAAGAGAGTGAGGAACCAGGAAAGAGAGATGGTAGAAATCACTCCCAAATCCTGCATCTTCTCTGACAGCTGTGGAAGGTAGTCGCGTGTAAGCTCCTCAAATATGCCTTGGTCCACTAATGCACCTAAAAAGACAAGGGAGAAGTGACATGGGACCAATCACAAAGCAAAGTAAATCTACACTAATTGGATAAATACTGACTGTAGTCATAAATCAGCAAGTTTTCAACAGAAGTGAAATCAAATAAGGTTTTGTCTTATTTATTTCCTGATTCCCTCTTTAATACAAACAAAGGGTCCTACATACCTATGGGAATATCATATGATCTGTTACCACAGATCCTGAGGTGAACAAGTCATTGTTTGATCTGTATATCCCATCAAACAAAAGAGTGAACATAAAAACATAAGAACAGCCGTACTGGGTCAGACCAAAGGTCCATCTAGCCCAGTAGCCTGTCTACCGACAGTGGCCAGCACCAGGTGCCCCAGAGAGGGTGGACCGAAGACAACGATCAAGCAATTTGTCTCCTGCCATCCCTCTCCAGCCTCTGACAAACAGAGGCCAACGACACCATTTTATCCCCTGGCTAATAGCCTTTTATGGACCTAACCTCCATGAAATTATCTAGCTTCTCTTTAAACTCTATTATAGTCCTAGACTTCACAGCCTCCTCTGGCAAGGAGTTCCACAGGTTGACTACACGCTGTGTGAAGAAGAACTTTCTTTTATTAGTTTTAAACCTGCTCCCCATTAATTTCATTTGGTGTCTTCTAGTTCTTCTATTTAGGGAACTAATAAATAACTTTTCTTTATCGGCCCTCTCCACACCACTCATGATTTTATATACCTCTATCATATTCCCCCTCAGTCTCCTCTTTTCTAAACTGAAAAGTCCCAGTCGCTTTAACCTCTCCTCATATGGGACCCGTTCCAAACCCCTAATCATTGTAGTTGCCCTTTTCTGAACCCTTTCCAAGGCCAAAATCTCTTTTTTGAGGTGAGGAGACCACATCTGTACACAGTATTCAAGATGTGGGCGTACCATAGTTTTATACAGGAGCAGTAAGATATTCTGGGTCTTATTTTCTATCCCTTTCCTAATAATTCCTAGCATCCTATTTGCCTTTTTGACCGCCGCTGCACACTGTGTGGAAGTTTTCAGAGAACTGTCCACAATAACTCCAAGATCTCTTTCCTGATTTGTCGTAGCCAAATTAGCCCCCATCATACTGTACGTATAATTGGGGTTATTTTTCCCCGATGTGCATTCCTTTACACTTATCCACATTAAATTTCATTTGCCATTTTGTTGCCCAATCACTCAGTTTGGTGAGATCTTTTTGGAGTCCCTCACAGTCTGCTTCTGTCTTGACTATCCTAAACAGTTTGGTATCATCCGCAAACTTTACTACCTCACTGCTTACCCCTTTCTCCAGATCATTTATGAATAAGTTGAAAAGGATCGGTCCCAGGACTGACCCTTGGGGTACACCACTAGTTACCCCTCTCCAATCTGAAAATTTAGCATTTATTCCTACCCTTTGTTTCCTGTCTTTTTAACCAGTTCTCAATCCAAGAAAGGACCTTCCCTCTTATCCCATGGCTATGTAATTTACACAAGAGCCTTTGGTGAGGGCCCTTGTCAAAGGCTTTCTAAAAATCTAAGTATACTATATCTGCTGGATCCCCCTTGTCCGCATGTTTGTTAATAGTGATGGGGGAAGAATTATTTTTCTAAAAATAATGTCACAGAAGCAGAGAAATAAGAAGCAAAGACCTGTGTAGGACCATTGCCTATAATAGATGTGCTTTCTTCAATCTAAATTTAGATCTTCCAAGCAATGGGGCTTCCACAACTTCCCTTGGGAGACTATTCTAAAACTGCTCTCACAACAAGGACATCTTTTTTTCAAATCTCAACTCATCATTGCTACTCTGTGTATCAACCTAATGAAGTCCTGCTACCATTCCTTTGTATATACACCCTTCAAACACTTAGTAGACTATTATGGCACTCCCCACCTCTTACTCACGTACACATTTAGATCTTTTAAATCTTTCTGCACAAGTCTAGCCCTACGGCCTCCTCCCATTTCTGATGCTTTTCTTTGTCTTCCCTCCAATTAATAGCTGTCAGGTCCTGAAGAATTAAGAATTGAATTATTCCAAGGAGAATAACTGGATATTTAGAATTTGCCGGAAAATCTTTACGCATCACTTATCAAGCCAAAGCTTTCATCTGCTAGTGCCTCCCCCTCACTCAAATGCACCATGTTTAAATAGTCTGTTAATAAAACACAACTGTCCTTCCTTCCTGATAATAAAACACAACTGTCCTTCCTTCCTGATGGTATAGTAGAAGGAAATGCCAGCCCAAATAATGAATTTTACACACTCACCCACTACCCTGGTGTTGTAGTAATCTGGCAGCATACGCTCACATAAAGCCACTAGCAGCCAGAAAGCCTCTTCCTCATTGCAGTACAGCAACAGTACCGATGTCACGATGTTCATGGCCTGGGAACAGGTAGAGCGACACAAACATGTACAGAGAGAAGAAACTACTCAGAGGATGTTCAGGAATGTAATATGACACTATCCCTATTCAACTTAGAAGAGATAAATGTGGTTAAAATACTATGCTCCTATGAATAAGGTATGGGACTGTGAGCCAGAAGATCTATGTTCTGTTTCCAGTTTATCGCTCTAGGCTTCAGCTCTTCCAACTATGAAATGGCGATAATTCCACACATCTTGGTAAAGTACTTTGATCCATGGATGCAAAGTATTAGTATAATCAACCGGGTTAATAAAACCTTGAAAATGGTATTTATACAGAAAATGCTAAGACAGCTTTAATAGAGCAGCATGAGCAAATATCCAAAGGATACATAAAACAATTCAGTTGCTATAGTATCTTTCATACTCTGAATATCTTTCACAGCAGGGCCGGGCAAAATACGTGTGGGCCAGATCCAGCATGCCCAGTGTTTCTATCTGGCTCACTCAGCTGATTACCAGAGTGTGCTGGCAGCATGTGTTCAGCTGCTCCTCCCCCCATCTTGCTCTATCCTGCAGACCTATAGAGGTTTGCAAATTAATAAGTTTGATGCATGCTGTCTTCATAATCTCAATTAACTCTTATATACTACTTAAGAAACTAGAAGGTGCTTTTGAGGGAATGTTAGCCAGGACACTGGGGCTCTCCATATTCTAATAAAATAGTCCATCTATCTCTGATGGCAGTGAGCAACAGAACAAACTGAATATCATATCCAAAGGATGGTTAGAATTTTACCACAAAGCAGCCCCTGCTTTACTGCTAGAGTATAAGAGCAGCATCAAAGATCCTAAATTCCAGTATGAGACCTCTTTAAAATGGTGGTTTGGCTCTCAGTAATGCCCAATGCGTGGGGTAGCTAGTTTATACTCCCTCTTACCTGACAGTACCCGATTGTGGGGTTTCGGAATGCGTAAGCTGTCAGAACCCTCCGAAGAGCAGCAATCCCCAACTCATTCTGAAAGGCAGGGTGCTCTGGCATGGAACGGTGCAGGTCTCGCTCAATTTCCTCTGTGGCAAGGTTGTATTTCCCCATTGACTTTTCCACCAGCTCTGCATAGTACCCTGGAAGGGTCACCATCTCATTCCAGGCCCCTACAATAACAGATACAGGCACTGCTTCACTCACTTGTCCCAGAAGCTTCAGTGAAGGGGCAGATAGGGGATAGGAAACAGACTACAAGCAGAGCCTCAGGCTCAGAAACAAATCTGCAGTTAAATCAGATAATTCCCTAATTTCTGAATGACAGCATCCTAGCAAAGTCAATTATGTAGCACCTGGGAGAAGAGGGCATTTAAAATATTCTGTCACTGTACTGTCACTTAGCCCTAGCAGGCAACAGATCATAATCTCTTCAGAAACCGCCTGCTGGCCTATTGCATTCAGATTTTGTGAGAAACTGCATCTGTCTAAAGCTTCATTCAGATGGAGCACACCTGGAAATAAATGATTATTTGAGAAATAAATGTGATCTATTTAGATATGAACATTTAATTCTTGCAATCTAGACCTATCCTTAATCCTGATACTTAAACTACAAATAGACTACCCATTACCTGGGAATTGTCTTGAGGGTCCAGTAGAACCTTTTACCTGAGAACAAGAGCCACAACTCCCCACGAAGATTCTCTGGGATCCCTTTTAGTACCAGTTCACGGGTCTTGGCTGTGCGATACATACACATTCCTCGCCCATACTCAAAAAAATGAATATTCCATGACTCTTCCTTCATCTTCTCCTTCGCCTAAGGGGGAAAAAAACAAACAGAGCCATTTGATGGATTAAAACATTTGTATCAAGGTCATCTGTAGAATGTGAGGTTTCAGAATATTGAAGCTTGTATTTGACAAACAGTGCCACATTTAAACTGTTCCTTCTTCCTTACGATGTGCTACATTCATTATCTACAGATGATCAATTGTTCATAAATTATGTATCAAGTTTCTAAGTATTCACAGCCAAAATGTGCAAGTAAGTAGTTTGAAATGTGACACTGACACAGCTTTTACTTGACTAAAAAGAGACATCAGTGGAGGAAGTGATGGATGGCACTGTGGTGATGACACATCACCCTTCATCTTAAATATCTGATTTTAAATAGCTCAAGTGAAATGAGTTTGATGGTCTTAATCTACATTTTATGTCTCATCTACAACACAAATGTAACCAAGTCAGGGCATTCTCTTACTACATGGTTGAAATTATCATGTCCCTGTATTCAAGCTAAAGCTCTTGAAAATCTGAAGCAATAGCAGAAGTGACTCAATGGATTTTATAATATTGTAAAAGCACAATAATTTAGCACAATTGTCAGTCTTTGCTCAAGTAGTGGGAAATCAAGCTAGTGCTTGGGTTACAGCTAAGATGCATTTTCACAGCTGTAATGGAGCGTAACAATAGAATTGCAGTTGGTGACACAGGTCAGCAGTAAGAGGTCCTGATGAGGCATTGGTGTGTGGAGTGTGGAATGAAGAACAAGGAAGCTTTCACAGTGCCTGCCTGTTTTAGTTAGCACTTCATTTTAACACCAGACTCATTGCAATTAATTGTTTAACATTACATGCAAGTAGCTTGTATACCCCTTTGGGTCCCAAGAGCTCCTCGGAGTTTTTCCTGAAGAGTTTGAGTAGCCCCTGGGAGGCTGTTGGCACCTCGCCTGTACAGAAGCTGGCCAATTGTTTGTTGAGAGCAGAGGTTGGGCTGACTGCAGGTGGACTGCTGGAAGACAGCTCTGGAAATTCCTGAACAAAAACACATCGTCTGAGAAAAAGCACAGTAAGAGTCTACAGTTTACTTTGCAAGCACATTTTGTGGTCCAAATACTACAATGAAGACCCCTCTCCACAAAACACGCTGATTTCTCTATACTGTAAAATCAAGGCACCTCAAACCAGCCCTTGCAGGGATTGCTGCCCAGAGTAAAAGGGAGCCCTGTCTCCAAACCCATTCTGATTTCCCCTTTCTATCAAGAGTAACAAAGGTGCCAGCTGAGATATGGTGACCTGCCAACAAAGATTAGTAAACAGGCTAACAGTCAGATAGCAAAGCCACTCCTGGCCACTAACCTATATGTAAAAACGTCTGCATCTCATTATCTGTTTCAGAGCTTTCTGTTACTTAGCTTTATATAGTGCATCTGTCTGTCTGTGTGTCTGACTGCGAATCCGTTTGTTCAAGAACTCCTAAATGGTAAGAGCTAGGGCCACCAAATTTGTTAGGCAACTTCCTCTTCTCCTAACTTAAAGCAAGGTCAGGGTTGGGTGCACCAGGAAAATTGGAAACCCTGGGAAAAGGACAGCTTTCCAAAATATGCAAAGGGAGGGGCTGAGGAGTCCCTAGCTGATGCTGGGTTCTGGGGATATGCTGCATGGAGCCCGTTATCAGCTGGGGAGTCCCCAGCTGACCCTGGACTCCACGTGCGCTGCCCCTTTGAACACCACCTTGGCAGCGCCGCACAGCTGATCCCGGGCTCAGCTGTGTGCCACTGCCGCTTTCAAGTACCTCTTCTTCCCCCCCCTTGCTGCCTCTGATAGAGGCAGCAAGGGGGGAGAAGGGAGGGAGGGAATTTACTAGTCAACTGACTATCCGATAAACACTTGCTTATCAGATAGTCGACTAGTCGTCTAGTCTAATATCCCTAGTGTCCAGATCTCACCGACTGTAATAAATACGGGCCACTTGAGGCTTCTCCAAACTATGACAGTTGGGGATTGCCAGAACCTATTTAGCTCTAGCCACTTTCCCCTTGTCACACTGACTCAACCCCCCACATCAGGGATTGCGGAAAGAGAAGCTTTACACTCTTTGGAGATTGTCCCATGTGAACGGAATTCCCAGCAGGGGATTTAGGAAGAGGTTTCTGCCCCCTTTACACTGACTGACTTTGCAGAAGGGGCACAATGGACCAGAGAATCTAGTTTTATACTTCAGCCCTTTTCTCTCTTCAAGGCAATAGAGGCTGTCTACTTCCTGTCCCCCTTGCCACTCCTCCAGCATAAATACCATATTCTCTGTGATGCTCAGGCTCAAAGAGGAACTAGCTTTATCTTCAGAAATCATAATACAACTTAATACATACTACAATAATACAGCTCTAACCAATGAAATGGGTAACTTCCCTAATCTGCAGAGAATGGTGATGCAAATTAGAAATTGATTTAAATGGGTCTTATTCCTACTGTTCCTCATTATAAAGACCTGAAATATCTGAGCTTAGTCAGACTCTAGCTTTAAGAGACGTGAGTCTGAGAAGATGATGCCATTTGCTGGAGCAAATAATGCAACAAACGTTTTTTGGAAAGGTGGAAACCCCCTGCCCCAATACCTCACATCCAGTGACACTGAAGTTCTCCTTCCACTTTCTGCCACTGTCACCTGATTTCTTTAATGGCGTTTTCTGCAAGAAGTCAGAGATTCTCTGTACCAGGAAATCTCGGTCCTTCAAGTTGGCAAAGAGGAAGGTCATTTTATTTTTGGTGCTGATGGAGAGAGGGCGAGGCAAGACACTGGAACTGTCTGCTTTCTCAACAATTGCCACCTGGAAAAGATAGTCGCAGGCAATTTGGATACAGCAGGCCTCCATCATTTCCATTTGATCATTAAAAGGGATTCTGAGATGCAGGTCCAAATTTAACTTGCTATAAAACATGTATAACCTGGATTGTCCTCTGGGTATTCATTTTTGCCAACACATCAACTCTGTCATCAAGCCATTTATCTATCAGACACCAGGCTCTGCAGTAATTGATGTGTTTTTTCAGGAATGATAGAGATAACTTATGTGGAAAGAAAGGGGAGTAAACCAACGAAATACCCAAAGAGGAGTTTACTTTTCTTTTTAACATCTGCTTCCTCATGCCTGCCATGTACTCTGGTTTACACAGAAAAGATCAGAGGGCTCGCCTCCGTTTCCTCTGCTAAAAGACAGAACTTTCATTGCCCTCATTAAGATGCAGCATTCCCTTTTAAAAGAAAAGGAAAAAAACATATGCTAAGATTTTGCCCTTTTTCTTGTTTATGCATTCAATTTTGTAAACAAAATAAGAAAATACCAGAGATTGTTTAAAAATGCTACTTTTCTAGGAGAGAAAATGCCAAGATAGAAAAGTGTGTTCACCTGCACTATGCACAAACAGCTGTGTCTGATAGTCTAACATTAGTTTTGTCTCCACTACTACAGAACAGTGCAAGACGCTCCGCAAGCTCATTTTTATAAGAGCAACAAAAAATTATTTTGTGTTGTTGTTGTTCCCCCTACTGAAGGAGCTGTGCAGATTTCATTAATGATGCACACAAGCAAGATGCATTTCAGCTTAATTGATGGGAATGGATAAGTCAGCAAAGAGGGAAAATGCTACTTTCAAGCTGCTAAGTGGTCTGTCTTTGACAAACAAGAAAGGAAAAACAAACTCTAAAATGTAAAAAACACACCAAACAAAAAACCCAATGTCCTTTGAACAGAGTTTGTTAAACATTGAAAGTTTTGACTTTTCTCTGGATACTTCCAGAATTGGGTATGAAACAAACTTGCTAGTAAGCAATCTTCTGGCTACTGAAAAAATGCTTTGCGTGTGTTCTCCACCTTTGCTTCCTTCCCTGTGATTGAGAGTTTGGAGACAGATTTCTTTCAAGAGGGTCTGATCTCAGTCTTTCCTCAGAATTATTGCCTATTATGAAATAATCCCCCAGTACCTTAATAAACTTCCATTTCTTGCGAAACAGTTGGGAATCACGAGGGAAGGGATAAACAATAAGGTAAAAAAACATATAATCTCTATATAAAGCCCTGGTATACCCATATTTTCAGTACTGTGTGCAGATCTATTCACCCCCTCCCCAAAAAGATGGAATTGGAAACAGTACAGAAAAGGGTAACAGAAATGATTAGGGTCATGGAACAGCTTCCGTATGAGAGATTAATGAGACAGGGACTTTTCAGCTTGGAAGAGAGGCAACTAAGAGGAGCATATGGCAGAAGACTATAAAATCATGATTGGTGTGGAGAAAGTAAATAACGAAGTCTCATTTAATCCTTTTCATAACACAAGAACTAGGAGGTCACCAAATAAATCTACTGCCTATGAATTTCAACACAAACAAAAGGAAATATTTAATCACACAACATATTGTCAACCTGTAGAACTCTTTGCCAGAGGATTTTGTGAAGGCCAGGACTAGAACAGCATTTAAAAACATCTAGGTAAGTTCATGGAGGTTAGGTTCATTAATAGCTATACGCCAGGTTGAGCAGGGATGGAAAACTCTCTCTGTAGTGAACCTAGCCTTTGTCTGCCAAAAGCTGAGAATGGGTGACAGTGATGATTACCTGTTCTGTTCTTCTCCTCGGAAGCACCTAGTATTGGCCACTATCAGAAGACAGGATAAGGGGCTAGATGGGGCACTGGTCTGACCGTTCTTATGTCCTTAACCCAATTAACCTGTGGTCAAGAGTCAGCATTCACAACCTGTAAGCATCAGACACACCCAAAAGCTAGAGACCAAAAGCATGTGGCCCTTATGAATAGACAGCTTTTAAATCCAATAGGTTCCCACCTCCCTGAGTGGAATGATGAGATGACAGGCCTCCTCTGCCTTGCTGGCAAAACAGATGTAATTGTTGGAAACAAACATCTGGCCAGGGATGTGCATCTTGTTAAACGGAGTCCACAAGGTGCAGTCTGTATGTCCATCCAGGCGTTCATCCTTGGGCAGCCGGAAGGTGGCACGGTACCAATCATTTTTGGCTCGAGCATCCAGATCTCTGAAGTAAAAAAGAGAGAAGGGTAACACCCTAACCCCGAGAGGCATGAATGGCCTAACCCTGCATCTTCAAAATCCTAAGAAGGAAACACCTCAACCAAAGATTCTTTTCAGAATCAGCTTGCAGGATTGTGTCTGGTCTTTTCAATCACTGTTCACTTCCCAAACTGAGATATACCACAACACCCACGCATTCGCTGCAGGACAAGTATTTAAAAGATAGAACAAGGTTTCTCCTTAATCTTGTAGAAGAGTACTTTGACGGAAAACATGTTGAAACTCTGGACAGAAGGGTCATGAATTTCAATGGCTGTACCACCTTCCATCCCAAAACAATGATACTATTAAAATCTGTACAATATTTTGAAATTTTAAAATGTTATAAGGGTATTATGATTTTTAAAAGACCTTCAACTTTAAATAAAAGGCTATCAGAACAGAGTATTGGGGTAAAATATAAGATCCTGAAAGCATGCTTTCAAATGGCCACATGCCTTCCCCTCCCCAAACTGCACTACTGCATGAAAGCAAAAGGCATCTCCAACAGAAGTAAATTCTACTTAGGTAATTAATTTCAGATAGAGATTGCTGAAAGTCCAGTCTGTGCCTTCAAGCACAGGGGAACAAACTGAAATTGTTAAAAAAAAAAAAGATGAATTATACTCAACTATGACAAAAATGAACGTATGTATGGGGGTGGAGGGAGAGAATTACTCAGAGATAATTAAGCACCTAGAGTACAGGTTGAACCTCTCTAAACTGGGACACTCTGATCTAGCAGGGTGTTCCTGGACCAGAGAGCCATGGCAGCCAGCAGCAAGAGTGCCAGTGGCTGGGAGCCCAGCCAGGCCGGTGGCAGGGGGGCCAGTGTCTGAGAGCCCTGCCAGGGCTGGGCTGGCAGAAGCGGGGCTGGTAACCCTGCCAGGGTGGTGGCAGTAGGACCAGCAGTCTTGCCAAGGGCGGGAGCCCTGCTAGGCTGGTGGCAAGGGGGCCGGCTTTGACTTCTCCTGGTCTGTCAAACTCCTTTGTTCAGGACCAGTCAGATCATGACAGAGCTGGATCAGGGAGATCCAACCTGTACTGAACCTTGATTTAGATTTGGGCCTCTGGGTGCTAACGAATATCAATATTACCAAATAATGTAAGCTCCCTCTGACTCTCCAGCTCCTCCTCCTTCTTTCCCCACTCCCACTGCTGGAAGAGAAACGCACCTTTTGAGTGCAGAAATGTTCTTTAGAGGCTTGCTGGGCTTGGGAAGGGACTTGTCCTCCAGGAAGCCCTCGTTGTCCAATAGCTGCCTCATGGCAATATTAGCCAGCTGTTCCATCAGCTTGAAGGTCTCATTGATGTTGAGGAACATGGAGAAGTAAAGCTCGCTGTCCCTGGTATTCACTTTAATGCACTCAGGGAACAGCAGTGTGGCATTTTTTTCCAGCTGTGTCACGTCCACCCACTGGACTACAAGGGTCACTATGGAAGCAACCACAGTAAACTCATTGATTACCATGTGATGCAAAACACACACATCCAGCAGAAGAGAAGTCAAATTAGCAAGAAAGATATCAATCAAGACTTATTACTTCCCCCATTCTCGGGCAAGTTTTTCCCTTCAAACTTTAATATGTGTTTCCCAAAATGCTTCATCATAAAGGAAGCATCTTCTGCGAATAACTGGTCTATGAAACAATACTGGATCCCATCTGAATATCGTCACGAGTGCACACTCCAAATAATAACTTCTCACATTTTTATATACTTGATAGATAACTATGGCAACAGAGTAACTCCTGGAAAAAGCCATTAAAATCTGAAAAGTACAAAAAGAACCCTAAACAGGGCTACATTAGTGCAAACTAGGAACCTTTTAGTTTGCACCCACGGCATCTACATGGGGGAGTTAAAGTGCAGCATCACCGCATTCTGCACTGCAGGGCAGACATAGCCATAGGCTTCTAGATTATGGGTAGAATTCACAAAAGTAAAGTCATGAACAAGTTAGATGACAAGTATAAGTGGACCCTAAAGGCTGCATGCTGGGGCTAAAGGAAGATTTCTATGGGAGAAAAAAAATTAAAACACCCAAAACCACACCACACCAATTATTAAGGGGGAAGTGGCAGACAAGAGCACCTAGCAAGCTGACAACTTACCTTCTTTGCCCAGCAGAAAGGAGTAGAAACAGAGGTGATTGACAGTCAGATACAGCCAGCCCTGCCTGGGAACACGCCCTTTCCAGTAGCTGCAAGAATAGTAATTGACTAGCTTCTCCACCTCAGGCATCCCAAACTGTTTTCGCATCTTGAGTTCAGCCTCCTTAAATTTGCCTGGATCCTCTTCACCCTGGGGCTGCTGATTCTTGTTCTCCTCAGCAATAATGCCCTACAGAGAGAGGAGAGGATGATGAGAAGTGGAAAAATCAGTGCTGTCTTCACTTAAAAGCAGCACACAGGATGGTAGCAGAATCTCAGAGATACTGAGGAAGAACATGGCAAGGGAACCAGCAGCAAATCCAGGTTAAGGGTAAAAGAGAGGTGTTTAATAAGAACAAATCAACCTATACCTGAACACACACTTAAAGTGCCCACAATTAACATTTCAGTGACCTTCTCAAGACTGGCTGGGTAAATTAAAGATAGCACTCACTCTAGTCAATTTCTAGCACTGCTGAAGTATGAGTTCTGTCCTATTCTGTTTGACAAGAAGGAAATGACTGATGGTAACCTAAGAGTTGGGAGAAGCCAGAAAGAAACCTGATAAGGAGACAAAAGAGTCTAAAAATACCAACAATTTTTTACAGTTACAACTAACAATGATGTCTGGTTTTCTAGGTTACAACATGGCCCTGATTTTCAGAGGTGACAAGCAAATGCAACTCACAACTTCAATGTCAATTACATATCCTCAGGACCTCAGAAAATTTGACCCTATCAATCTCAATAGGTTAATATATAAAGAGTTCACCTTGACCATGGTCCACAATTTGCACATCCTACCATGAAAATCAAGTATTTTCACTACTTTAAAAAAAGTCAAATTCAACTGCTAAAATGCTGAAAGTGAAGCTGCCTCTGTGTTACAGATCCATGAGAATATACTAATTTGGGACTAAAAAATGTGTACTATTTTCATATTTCTGTGGATAGACTTTTTAGGAACATTCACAGATCTATTTTAAGGATATGATAACTTTACAATAGGGATGTTAAATTTCAATGAATTAACTAATTGAATAGTCGATGGGATTCCCATTGACTATTCGATTAGTCAATAAGCACTTCCACTTTCCACCTTTGAAATGTACAAGAGCCCCAGCGGGGACTCTTGTGCATTTCAAAGTTGGAATGCGGCATGGAGCCCAGGGCCAGCAGGGAGTCCCGCTGACCCCGGGCTTGACGTGGGCATTTCCGCATTCCCGGCTGACCCCAGGCTACATGTGGCGCTTCTGCTTTCAAATGTCCAAGAGCCCCCGCTGGAGCTTTTGTACATTTCAAAGCGAAAGAGCCCACATGGAGCCTGGGTCAGCAGGACTCCCTGTTGGCCCAGGGCTCCACGCTGCGTCCCAACTTTGAAATGCACAAGAACTCTAGCGGAGACACTTGGACAATTCAAAGTTGGACGCTGCTGTGCCCCTGCCCAAGGAGCTGGAGCTGGGGGGAACTGGTTTTTAAGCTGGTTCCCTCCAGCACACCTTCTTCTTCCTCCCCCTTGTTGCCTCTTTGTGATAGAGGCAGCAAGGGGGGGAAGCAATTAGTCGACTAGCGTGTTGACTCTCCGATAAGCCTTTGCTTGTCAGATTGTCGACTAGTCGATGAGTTGCTTATATCCCTACTTTACAAACAGATCAGTTTCTTAGCACATCAGCATGTGCAGTGTCAAGAAGCACTGCTACTTTTCCCTGTTTGACAGTCAGCAGCACTGATGGCAGAGACACAACCTTAGTTGTGCCGTTTCCATGATGCCCACTTAAGTTATTTCTCACTCTTAGCACCTCCACCCTTCTAGAGGATGGATCATCACATGGGTTCCTAGCATCATCCTCAACTCTCCAATCTTATTTATAAACAGCTTGATTTTCCGTTTTTAGAAACGCAGACACAACAGTATCTACGGCTGCACCTACAATCCTACATCCATCTAACAAACCAAAATACAGATAATATATTCCATCCTTGCCTTCAGCTAAAGGCTGAAATAAAGCAGGGGAACTTTGTACAGCCTGCAAAGTTTAATTCTGGGCACTACCGGAAAAGTAAATTCCAGAGTTAAAGGCCATTCACCAAAAATGCCAGTAACCCTTGGCCATTTGGATCTATGGCCAGACAGCAAAGGTACATCAGTTAAGTTCAACTTTTAATATAAAACACAAGAGAAGGTGAAGTCTCAGACAATCAAGATCCAGCTCATCTAGAGAGTTAAATAAACTATATCAACACACAAACAAAAGCATGATTTTTTGACATACTCAGGCTGTCTTTCTACTATAGTATTCCTAGCGAGAAACTGTCAGTCAAGCATTCAGAGGCCTGAATCCTTCCATCTTCTTCACTGTCTCTACTAATTGTGCAACAGCTGACTCTACCCCCATCACACCAGAGGACAAGACGACTTCAGTCAGTCTTTCCAAGAAGTATCAAAGGCCCTAACCACCTATAGCTCAAATTCTGACTCTTTGGTAAGTACCCCATCAGTAGAGATGCTAGTGTTTGTCTGAAACAGCACAGTGGGAATTAGGATACACTGGAGACAGATTCT